TCTTTCGAATCCCATACTAGATTCAAATTCAGCCGAAAACGAAAAGGTGAGTATTTGTGATTGGAAGAAAACAAAAGGGATAAAGTGAAGAAGAAGAAGAAACCTAACTCAGCTGCCAGAACTGAAATAAAGAAGAAGCAGAGAACTGAGACTAAAATGGAGGAGAAGAAGAAGAAGAAGAAGAAGAAGAAGAAGAAGAAGAAGAAGAAGAAGAAGAAGAAGAAGCAAAATGAATGGAAATAGCTTGAACTTTTCCAGTGAAAGCCAAGAATATCATTGTGCTTCAGCGAACCCAAAATGAACCAATTTAACTCAAATCTTCACCAAATGATTTAAAACTTGAAATGAAAACTCTAAACAACATCAATACCAAGCCCCAGTGTTCAATTCGAACAAACAACCGCAAAATCAAAAGACCTAAGTTCGTCTTCTTCATCGAACAATCAGTTCAAGTTTCGAAGATGTTGACTGCTTCTTTAACGGCAAAAACGGAAGCATTTTTGATGAATTTTGTGCTGAAACTAACGATCGTAGCCCGACCTTCATCATTGGGTATGTACTGATCCAGCTTTTGTATGTCGTTAACTCTAAAGACGTCGTCANGACAGTGAGGTGGACAAATAAAATGATGTGGCACGATTTATAATGGTTACTTTTGCCACGTAGATGGAGATTGCATAACACGCGCTTGGTTAATTAATAAGCCAGCAAAAAGCGTGTCTTATTGGTATGAGAATTGCCTAGGAAACGTGTCTAATTAGAAAGAGGTCTAGTTTAAGTGTCTAAGTGAAAGATCGTGCCAACTTTAGGTGTCTCCGTATGTATTATGCCTTAGAAATTCTTAGATGTGAAATAAGGAGCACAAGAATTGTAATAAAAAGAGATAGAAAATCTAATGGAGAATAAACTTGCAAAACAGAACCCTAGGAATTTTGGTTGACATAAATGCTTTCTGAAAATTTCATTTTCCTTTATTAAATGAAATATTAAGGTTTTGTTGCCTTAATTAATCTGAAAGTGTTTACTTAACTTTTATGCCAAGTATCTAATTTTACTATATATGCGTTTCTTCAGAATTCTCCTATTAATGAAAATTAGTATATGTACCTGCGCGATGCACGGATTAGTTCAAAGGAAAAAAGAGCTGAGAGAGATAATAGAAAAAGAAGTATATATAGCATTAGCCACGGGAAAGACCAAAGTCCTCTCCATTGTTGCATCAATTAAAAGCGTATTATTTTTGCCTTTAAGAGTACGTTTCGAACATTTATGCATAATCTTTTCTTCCATATTCTTGATAATAGTATATTGCATAGACGCTCCAGATCATACGTTGTCGTCTAATATTCTTGACTTGCATAAAACTAACAGTATCATATCCTTGACTTGCATAAAACTAACAGTACCATAATGATTCTGAAAAATTACATGAGAAATTCACTCGTTTCTTTTTTGGTTCTTTTGCCTAATTGAAAGAAAACTTCCTAGTTCTCTTCGAGATATTTAATTTAAAAAAGAATGAAAAGCTCCTAAGAACATGTAAGATTAATTTTTACCAATAGCCATGAGACCAAGAAGAAAAGAAAGAGAGCTTACTGACCAAATATTTTCCACTTTATATCAAGTAAGCAAGCTAGCTCAATTGTAGGGCCTTAAGGGTCTTCTCCAACAACCTTAATTCTGCATCTTGGAATCTGATAGGGATTTATGCTCATGCACGCCTGATCTGGCATGACCCTTCTTCTGCACTGAAAACTTCAATATATCTGGAGAACGAAAAAGAACTTATGGGTGTTTGATTTGGAAATTAAAGGAGCATTAATTGATAGCATCCTATAGCTTTAATGTAAATTAAAGGAACATGTATCCTTCTGTAGAAGATTCTAAAACATTAGTCAAAATACTTATGAACTTATTCAACCTGTAATAGTTGAGGCAATATGATAGAAAGAAATGGCATAACCATAATTGTTACACTTTTGGCCCAAAGGTATTGCCGTCAGAAGAAACCAAAATAAGTAAATTATGTTAGTTTGAGAAAATTGGGAATACCAGAGAGGCTAAATCATCAGTTTCTCATGTTTTTAATTAACGCAATCCATATAGTATGACTTTAGTTTTTTTCTATCACATTATTATTTTATCATCATTATAAGTCGAGATGAATTATTAGCTCATATAGAGCTATTTCTAAATAAACATGTATTTACAAATGAAGCTCTTTATGATTTTCATCACGAGTTATAAGTAGGAAGAGATTGAATATTGTAATGATGATGGTGGATAAATAACAAATGAAGTTAGAAAATTAGTAAGTAAAGATTTTTTTAGATTCATTTATTTATAATTTATTCGTTTTGAATCATCTTATATTTTCATATTATTTGTAGCACGGCCTATATAATTACAATATCTAAGTATCATTCAAAAGTTATTTGATAATTGTATGAGTTGTTTATATAATTACAATTAAATATTACCACAATTAACAACTACACAATGCATCTTATACAAAAGAAACATGTTTCAAACCTGATTGTGCCCTCTTAGAATAAAGAAACAGATAATAATTGACTAACCATCCTTCTTACAAAAATAGCAGCAATTTATCACAAAACACAATCTTGTGATACAAATATTAATGCAGTTTATTAAGTTTTAATACATCATATATGTCTACTTACTACTGAATATAAACCCTTGAATTCTAATAATCAAGTTCTTTAGTGTATCCTTCGAAGAATCCGGGTTTGACCAGATCTAAAATTTTATGATCAAATATATCTATCCACATATATAAGTAAAATAAGTGTCATCTTAAAGGACAAATTAAAAGTGAGCATGTACTTACCTCGCATTCCTTCTCTTCATCTACGCCTTGAATAGTATTGAAGTCAGGATCTTAACAAATATAAAAATTACTGAGTTCGAAAAAGACTTAAAATAATAGACTTAACAAAAATCTGCAACTTAACTACATGTTTTTGCTATTGATTATCCCATGAATATGCACATAGAAATTAAAAAAATACACGAAATGCAAAACAAAAAATTCAGATTTGAAAATAAAAAAACGTAGAAGCAAACGTGATATATGTTGCAGTATACCACTGAGAAACATATTTGAGGATACATATGTTTAGTGCATAAATTCTTCAATCGACTTTTGGTATTGATTATCCCATGAATACACACATGCAAATTAAAAGACAGAGTTACCAAAACAAAGTTTTAATACCTTTTCATCTTGTAGAACCTATTCAATCGAGAAAGTAGTGTCTAAATTGTAACGATCTGGTTCTTCCGAAATATTGCATTCTTGAAATTTTTATAGCCTTAATTCAATTTTTGCAGAAATTGTACTGTTTCTTGAATTTTTTATAGCAGTGGAAGATTTGAATTTAAGAACACTATCAATCGGAGAAATAGCAGTTGGGCGGAAGTTTGGTTTTGTGAGTTTCATGTGCGTATGTTTCATGAGTTATGCGTGGTCGAGCAACTGTCCATTATCCTTAGATTGGGTTTTGTAGAGAAAATTTAGGAAAAGTGGGTTTAAAATACGTAACTTTTTTTGTTTTAATTGACAACTGTTTTCTCTTTTTAAGGTGAAAGAGTACGTATATTTTAAAATTAGTTAATGTGTTATAATTAAAGAAATATGAAATTTGAAGTAAATAAAGCTAAAATTTTGAATTAAATAAAGCTCTTTAAAAAAAGTTCGCTCTACATGGTTCAAAGTTAAAGAGTAAAAAATATATTTTTAAAATGTGCAACTTTTAATTTTTAATTTTTTAATAATAGTGTAAATCAGTTTTATTTATTAAAATTTAAATATTAAAAATATATATTTAAAATCAGTTAATTTTTTAAAAAATAAAAGAATTTTTTATTTTTTTAAAAAAAACAAAGAAACCTGAAATTTGCGAAGGAGTTTTTAATTTTTCCAAAATATTTTATAGTTCCTATTTTTTTGGAGGATTGTCTAAAGTGCCAAGTGGCATATTGCGATGATGCCACTTGGCGTAATGATAGAAGATTACTTAACATTTAAGTAAGCACATCATTTATCCAAAAATAGGTTTTTTTTTTTTCCAAGTAAATCAATTTTTTATGACAACATTTTATACCATATCAAGATCTGCTTAAATCCTTAATAGAAAACGTAACGTGGCAATGATAAGCAGGACTAAGACGAAACAGAAAATCCATACTTCGGGAAAATATTACTCCATCGGAAAGAAAAATTGTCTAAATTATAAATGTACATTAACAAATAGATTTATATTCAATGCTTTAATTTAAAACGAAAAATAAATGGAAATTTTTTAAAACATATTTGGTATGAAAGAAAACGTTTTTCAAAGTGAAATCATGTTCAACCTTTTGACTATCAGAAAAAGTTTTCAAAAAAAAAAAAAAAAAGGTTTCTTCAAAATAGAAATATAATTGCAATCTATTTCCATTAGCCGGGCCGATGAGAGCGAAAAGTTTGAAATTTATTTGAAGTTTCTTCTATCACTAATAGATTGAAAACATTTCCCTTTTGGTACATTAATTCATACTCCAAAGTTCAAGTTATATGCTCTAACCATTATTAGGCATTATGAGAAATCTTTAAATCGCTAAAAAAATTCATCAAATTTTCAATATAGATGTGCTGACATTTGTATCATTTCATATTAAACATTCTTCAAAAAATAATATTTTGGACTTAATACCAAAAAATATTTTTCAGAAAAAGGATAAAATTTTGACTTGAAGAGGGCACGTCAGAAGACGATAAGATAGGCGGAAACACATGAACAAACGTGTAGGATGGGCCCTACCTTAACACTTTTTCTCAACGTAACCAATCCCCAAATAAAGATGTCAATATTTTTGGGACCCACCAAAAAAAAAATATTAGTGTACGCAGTTTATATAGATAAGAAACAAAAAAGTAATACTCCTAATTAATAGAAACAGAAAAGCCGAATATACTTTACTCTAAGTTTCAAATATCCCTTTCTGATTAATAACTTCCCCATATTATAGTATAGAAATTCCTTAAGCATAGTAATATTCCACATCATTAATTCTTTCCCACATTTTCCTAACCATTCATATCCTTTTCAAAATTCATTTCTAAGTTGAACTCTTCTTCTTATTATTATCTCAACAATCTTTGATCATTTGGGAAAGGAAAAAAAATGCTTCTTTTTCAAGAATTCTTTGTAACTGCTATGGCAGCTCTTGTATTTTCTTGCATAATAGTGAAATTTATTTCAATTGCAGTGTTAAACAACGAAAAGATTGATAAAGAGAAAACTGTTGTTGAGGAAGCCAAGATTACAAAAGGGTTGGTTGTTAAGAGTAGAAAAAGCAAGAAAAGAGTCAAATTTGTTGAAAAAGAAGTTGTTAAAAATGTTGATCATATTGAATTAACGGCCTGTAAAGTTGGAGGAGTAGTTGATCAGTCTGAAAATGGTGGAGAAAAGAAAGTAGATTCAGAGGAAGTGTTTGTTGAGGAAAAAAATGAGGATATTTTAAAGAAAAGTGATGAATTTAACGGAGAAAAGATTCTTGAAAATGTTGGAGTGATTATAAATGAGAAGAGAGATGAGGATAGTGATGATGACTGGGAGGGAATTGAGAGAAGTGAATTGGAGAAAGAATTTGTTAAAGCTGTAAACTTTGTGGATAGCGGAAAAGGGAAGGAGAATTTGGGGAGTGAATTGATGATGCAGTTGTATGGACTCCAGAAAATTGCAATGGAAGGGCCTTGTTATGAGCCTCAACCAATGGCACTGAAAGTCTATGCCCGCGCCAAATGGTATTGATCTTTTACTCTGATTAATATGAGCTTTAGCAAATTGTTGGAACTCTAGTTCAATTGCATAAGTTTTTCAATTGTTTGTTGATTTGCTTGAATGAAAAAAGTAAAATTTGTGTAGCAAGTGCTTGCATTGGTCAAGTGAGGCTTCGACTTTAGAAATCATTGGATGAATAAAACCAAAGGAATGCTGCTAAAAATGGGGATGATAAATCATCATCTCACATATAGTTCTATAGAGAGAGTGTAATCAATCACAATTCGATTCCTTGAACCTATTACCTAATGTAGTTTTTCCCTTGCATAGTAGCATTTCTTCTTTGCTTTTTTTAATGAATCTCTTGTGTCCGGCTTACCATTAGATTTTGACTAAAAACTAGTAGATTTGTATAGCCTAAATTTCATAGTAAAATTTAGAGGAACGAGGCAGGAAACTGAGGATGATAAGTAACACATTTATATCATAAGAAAATTGTGTTAGAATATACCTAGAGTAAATAGAATAAGAAGTAAAGGACAGACCTTCAAACTACTTTCGGGTGTAGTTTGATAGCTAGTTATACAACAGGAGTGAAAGCTGCTATCTGTAAGTGATGGAGGACAATAATTCCATTGTGCAAGGAATGCGTGGCAAAGAATGGGAAGCATGAATCCGGAGGTGGCTATGGAGCAGTATATTAAGCTTTTGTCAGACCATGTTCCCGGATGGACGCATCAAAATAAGGTTGTCAATGTCTCCTTAAAAAAATTTCTTTTGGATATATTACTCATAGATTTTCATGAAATGTCACTGCTGGAGCGAAATTCTCACTCCTAATGGTTTACGGTGCAGGAGGCTAGTGAAGTAGGGTCTTCGGAAACTAATGTGCCTAGAGATCCAGATTCCATTCCAGATTCTTTTAATGATATTAGCAAAGATGAAAGGTAGTTCTAACTCCCTTTCCTCATTATGTCCTCCGAAATTTTCAAAGGTTCATTTTGTTTCCATCAACTCTTGATTACTTTTGCGTGTCTTGCCTTCCTCACTAGCTTTTGACGTATCTACAGGACACAGGAAATAAACCATGCTGCAGAGGAAGGTGACATTGCTGGAAGTGAAAAGGTGACTCATATTCTTTTGTAACTCTTTTTAATTCTATAGTGCTGCAAATTTTGTTAAAGTGATTTTCTTCTGAAGTTCTTTTAGCTGTGTTGTTCACTTTTTTAGGTGAAACTTGCCCTCAAACCTGCTGTAGATCGAATATTTTAAGCTTCAAAACTAGTGAAAAACTTAAATGTCACATGGAACCTTTATTGTTGTTCCCTTGTTGCTTAAAAAATTTATTTCGCATGACTTAACTTTTCTTGGATAATTGCAAGTTCAACTATCCAAATGTTCACTTCTATACTGATCCGTGTGAAATATTTGTTGTTGTTAAATGCCAGATCCTATGAGATATCTTATCCTTTAAAATAATTTTATTCAGTTAAAAGTTAAATTGCCTTGTTAGACTTTGTTTCTTATTTTTTCTTGTTTCTTCAAATGTCTAGCAGACATTCAATTTTCAGTCTTCACTCAGACATCCTTTCAGGAGAATCCTAGTCCAACTTTCCTGAGATTTGTCTTTTGCTTATGAGGAACTTTTATCAGGCATACTTGTTTTACCGTTTGGGGCTTTAATTGCATCTCAAAGATATCAAAATTACATCAGTGTAGTTGGCTTCTCGGAACAATATGCCTGATCTCATAAGCCACTCAGTGTACAGTAGAAACTGGTGCTACATTTTATGATCTCTGGTTCCTCTCCTTGAGTAGTTATTTACACTTGACTGCTTTCCATCTCAACTATGGCCTGATATGTGAAGCTTGTTGGAATATATGACAGCTCAAAAGAGTTGCTTCATTTTTCATTTTCCATTCAGGCCTGGTAAGTGGAGTTGTTTGAAATTAAATAACTTAACAAATTGGCTCCTTTTCATCTATAATGGCTTCATTTGTTAATTCTTCGTAAATATACGAACTAATGATGTAAACTATCAAAAAATCCATCCATTTGTATCTGTTGAATTGCTGATAAACGACTAATACGAGCACCTGAGAGAAAACATAAGATCCTATTTTTGCTTCTGTATCTTTTGGTTGGCCGAGGAAGGAGGATACTTGAGTGTCTAATCTCAATATCTCCTTCGTTGGCTTTCTGGAATATTACTTATTTGGTTTTCATTTTTTATATTAGTTTTTTCGAATTTTGGTGTTTCATAGTCTCCATCAAAATCAGACTGTAAAGGAAAAAGTAGTACTAGATATGCGAAAAAAAGGAAAGAGAGAGAAAGACCAGAATCTTGAAAACCAATTTACTATCCACCATGATTCAAAAGATAAGTTCACTAAAAAACTAAGTAGGTCTAAGGATGAGAACAAAATTGTGTCCAGCAAAATTCAGTTTCCCTCTAAAACAGATATATATACTTTGCAAAGATAATATGCCTAAACAAAGCGTCGGGATAGAACTTTGAGCCAAACTGGTGTATATAGGACTTCCTCTGAAAGCTCGAGTTAAATATGAAGCTGATTAACGGGATAATGTGATTAATATATAACACAACTGATAGCTGCAATGGCTCGTGATAGGACAATGATGCTAATGTCCTCAAGGAAGTGTCGGGAGTGTAAACGTCGAGGGGACTATGATGCATGCAGACTTTTACTTTATCAAAAGAAATTAAAACCTTTGTTTCGTGCAGAAGATATATATCGATCTGCTCTTTCTCTATGTTGGACATCAGTTCTTTTTACAACTTTGTATTCAATGTTACTTATAATTTATATAAGTGAGCTAATTTCTTCTTGCTTTTATGGTTGTTCATTTAGTAGACATCCTAATGCTTTTAAAATTTCTTTTTAGAGGTCAGATATGGAATAAGTTTATACTTCTTTAGTAACTCATATATCGTCTTTCAACATTATTAGGCAGGCAGAATATGTTCTCTTTGAAGAAATTGGTAGCTAGTTGAAGCAGATAAAACTTGCTTTATAGCAATTGTCATATGTTCTTTTCAGGATAAAGAATGAGAAGAACTCAACAGCAGGTGTACTGCAATTACTGCTTCAAGATTTGGAGGTCTTTGCAGTTCATAACACAACTTGGTTCACTCCCTAATGTTTCCTTATTGGATTATGCATCTACATGCATATGTAAATAGCTATTTCCACTGAATAAAAATGACACTGTACTTAGATAAACAATTATCGCTTGTTTCAGTGGCTTTTCATTATAAGAAAATCAATAGTAATAATCTCTTTGCTTTATTATACTCTTTTTGGTTCTGGACCTGCTTTGCTACTTACATAGTTTAAAGGTAAACTAGTTGTAGTAGTAAGCATTGTCCTTATTTTACTTGAGATATCTGTTAACACTAGTATACTACTACATTAGTTCCTACCTGCAGCCACTAGCGGAAACATAGACTGCCCAATGCCACCACCATAACCTGGATATCCGCCACCATTTCCTCCACCAAAGCCACCACCATTACCATTTCCTCCACCAAAGCCACCGCCATTACCATTTCCGCCACCAAAACCGCCGCCAAATCCACCACCGTTGCCACTACCTCCACCATAAGGACTACCTTGGCCATTGCCTGATCCTCCACCCATCCCACAGTTA